GGCAGTTGGCCAAGAGGTGCTGATTTGCTTTGTAGATAAAGGCAGTTTTTCTCCTGGTCAGAGATGTAATGATGACTGGTTTCACCCCTGCCTCTCTAAGTACCATTAAAAGGCTTTGAGCCTAAGGCAGGGGGTGGGAGGTTTCACAGCACCAGGACTCACAGAAATCCCTTCAATCCTGCAAACCAGAGGAGAGGCTGAGGGGGGACATGGTTCCCAGAAGAAGAAAGAACGGGCTGAAGAATTTCCCTGTTTCTGTGTCATTAATGGCAGTTCAAACCTTCCCCCCAGGCCACTGTGTCACCCTCAGAAAGGAGCAGGGGCTGCCCTTCTGCTGGGCTGTGCAGAATGGGGAGAGCAGGGGAGGGTCCCATCCTCATCCCCCTTTGGTGGCACAAAGAAGATCAGGAAATAAGACAGCAAGCTACCCAGTCCTAATGTACCAGACCCAGAGGCTATGGGGAGATATGACCTGTCTCTCAGCCAAGCCTCTGAGAGCTGTTAGATTACATAGGTACCTTCGCAGGGGCAGACTGTTCACAGCCCCATGGCTTCGATGGAACGCTGGCTGACTGCGTCAGCAGCAGAGCTGGCTACGCTTTCTCTCACCAGCACTCAAGAAATTTATGAATAAGTCAAATGTGAATAATAGTTATTCTCAGTCTTCTGGGAAACAGCTATTTTAAAGCCCACTCTATGTGCCCACACACAGTTTTTAGGTCAGTCTGTTTACAGGACTAAGACATCCCTGAAGTTCTTGAAACAACTAGGTCCATGCATGGCTCGTGGCTCAGTCCTGTGCAGATGTATTTATTCTCACCCGAGAGCTGTGCAGCTTCATCCAAGTGTTGCTGAGCCCAGCATAAGCTCCCTACTCATTAACTTCACTGAACAAATGTAGCTGCAAGTTGGAATAAGCAGACAAGTCTGTAGCTGGCAATGGTGTCAGGGGCTCACACTGTCATCCATTAATGACTTCTATGCAGTTCATAGCCAGACTATTTTAATTGTGGTCTACCAAAAATGCATCAAAAAACATCTTGAAGTTTCACATTCAATATGGAAATATTTAAGACTCTCATATCCACATTGCAGCAGCTCATGGTGAACTGTTGCCAGTGGGATGGACTCACACTGGAGTGGGGGAAGGACTCCTCTCCCTGAGCAGTGGCAGAAACAACCTGTGATGAATGGATTGTAACCCCCATTCCCCACCTCCCTGCGCTGCTGGGGAGGCGGAGGTAGAGCTGGGAAGGGGTGAGGGGTGGGGGAAAGGTGTTTTTAAGATTTATTTTACTTCTCATTATCCTGCTCTGATTCTGTTAGTAATAAATTCAATATCCCCAAGTCAGGTCTGGTTTGCCCATGACGGTATTCAGTGAGTGATCTCCCTCTGTCCTTATGTCAACCCATTAACCTTTGTTTTATTTTCTCTCCCCTCTCCACTTACGGAGGGGAGTGACAGAGCAGTTTTGGTGGGTGCCTGGCATCCAGACAGGGTCAACCCACTACAGTATGCCAGATGGTGCATTCTCTATATGTAATTAATTTTCTCATAAAACTCCTGTTTTCAGGCTATGTGGATCTCCTTCAACGAACAGTTCAGTGCCTTGTGCAACTCTTGGTTATGCAGTAGACACTGCTCTGCGATATTTGCAGTCTGCTCCAGAGGCACAAGTGTGAAAGCTCCAGAGGGAACAACCAAGTCAGTTTAAAAGAATGACCTACACTGATAACCAAAGACATGTCTGAGAGCAGTCAGGCTGGCGAACTCTGGGGCAAAAAGGACCCCAGGGCCAGAGTTGTGGTGTGATGACTGGAAGATGGCCACAAGGTCACAGCACATCACCTGTACCATTGCTGTCCCTCACCCCAGCAGAAGTATGTGGGTATGAGGGTGGGAGTGGGAGAGTAGACTTGCTTAGGAAGTCAGCTAACACAAAATAACCTCCCATTTCCATAAAGCCTCATGTTTCACTCTGATTCATTATATTCCCACAGAGAAAAGAAAAGCCTCCCGACACCATGATCCTTACCACACTCCTTACCATGCTCCAGAGCAAACAGTCCCTTCTCACACCAATGTCCCCCAAAGGCTTGTTTCTGCAGATCTGTTTTTCTTGGGATAGCTACTAAACCACCTGTTTCAGAGCACTGCACACCTCCAAAATTCAAAAGGTAGCAAATAGTCCAGCTGCAGCAGGATTAAAATTAAAAAGCAGGATTAAAAAATTGAAAAGGATAATCTCCACCCAGTACATGTTTCTCGTTTTATCATCACTCAAATCCTCACTACACATCCACCAAGATGGCATCTGAATGCAGTTTACGCACCAATGGCTGTATTAGCATTTCAAAACAACCTTCTGGTCTGCAAGAGAGGTGGCATAGAATGAAAAAATACCCATGAAGCCTGGATGCCCAAGTTAAATTGCCCAGGATGTGATATTTTTGGAATAGTTTGCATCATACTGCACTTTGTGTGCACAGACCACAACCCCCCACTGATTTCAGCAGCACCGGTGAATGCAAAATATTTCTCCAGGATTCCAAATCAGATACAAAGAAAATGAAAAATAGCTAATTATCAGAAATTGCCCTGTAGCACATTAAGCACATTGCAGCACAGCATACGATGAACAGTTCTCAAGGACACCATTTCTACTGCTTTAACCAAGTCCCCCTCTTGCATGGTTCTGTCCAGTTCTCTCTGAAACTTGTACCTCTGCTGGCCACCAGCATTTCTGGAATGTCATTTCTGGACGGGCGGTTAAGGCTCACTCTCTAATCTGCCTTTTCTTTTCTTTTTACCCAGGTCATACCTTCTGTTCTTTTTAATTAAATCAAATAGCTTCAACACTTCTTGCACCCCCTCTGTGCCCAGATTGAGGATTGAGCAGAGCCTGGAGGAGAAGGATTTGCCACCAGGTGCAGTGGTGCAGGATCCAGAGCTGTAACTGCAGGAGCTCTGCTCAGACCCACCTAGACCATTTGAGTGGGCATCTGAAGATTTTGCCTACTGGAGTTACAGCAAGGTTCTTGCATGTGTAGCAGTTTGAAGGGTCATAACTGCATTCAAAAATGATGAGTTTTAAAGTGTTTTCTTCGGCTTCAGAAAGAACATCTTACTGAGGTATTCAGCACTCCCGAAGATTTATTTGCTAGTAAAGAGCTGGGATCTGGGGAGGGGAGCATTGTTCACGGGCTGTGCACATTTGGGAAATAGAATAGAATAGAATAGAATAGAATAGAATAGAATAGAATAGAATAGAATAGTTCAGTTGGAAGGGACCTACAATGACCATCTAGTCCAACTGCCTGACCGCTTCAGGGCTGATGTGTTGCAAATGCTAAGAGAGGAAATGGGACTTGGCGTAAGGGTTCAAAGAAAGTGGGAGGAAAGGTTTGATTCTGCAGATCAGTGATACAAAGTACTCTGAACTCCGGGAGCCTTGATAAAGGGCAGTAAAATAGCACTGGATTCACAGTGAGAGATTGATAACACCTTATGAAAAGACTGGTTAGGTACAAGGAGTGGTTGCTATTTCAGTGTCTTTAAATACGCAGGTGTGAAAGTCCTCCACAAGGCTTAAAATGATTTCAGAAATGTAAGGTTCTGCCTTACAGGTTATTACAGGAATTAGGGAAAAAACAGTTTCTCTTTTTTTTTCCATTTATAGAAGATTTTTATCACTTCATTGCTGACTGCTGCAAGTTGAATGGGGCACCCTGGTGTGATGTTCAAACTAATTTCCACAGCACAGGGAGTTATTGCTTTTCTGTGCAATATAAGGTAGAGTTTTTTGGACCACCATGTTTTTCTGCTAAGAACATTAAGTTCTGCAAACTATTTCAGACAGTTGCAGTCATGTGAATTTTCTTAGCTACCCCAGAAAGGACACATCTCAGTTATCTTTAAATGCACCAAAATTGTGCAATCACCAGAGGATAACTTGCAGAGAAATGTTCCACTTTCATTACTTGCTATCAGAGATATCATCCCCTCTCTCAAAGCCATTCATTTATAAACTGATTTCAGAGAGCTAGCATCTTAGTTGAGATGAAATGTCCCAAATGTCTGAACTGACAAGTATACAGGTACTTTACAGGGTAAGAGAGTAACATTCAAAAGCAAAAAAGTAGAACTGTGGGATCCTTTAGCTGACACTTGACATTAATGCAAAGATGTTCTGATCAAAAGGTCCTAGTCCAAACTCACAGTAGCATTTAATTATCCGTTCTCCGACCGTGGATGGTATGTCCAGCTTTCTCCAAAGTAGCTTTTTTTGGGTTTAGTTATCTATTAGAATAAAAGCCATCTACTTAAGCAAAGATTAGGCATCCATTTTTTCTCAAATTTACCTTAGACAAAGTGCCTGTGATGTAAGAGACTCCTCTACTTGTCAAAGTCCATCATATCCTCCACTTCTCTAAGGGTATTTCCACCAAAAAAACCCACAACTTGTGAAGTACAGCTGTTTGTTCATTCTGAACAGATATTAACTTTTCAGACCCTGGTTCAGAAAGGATGCTTTCCTACCCAGTTGCACTTGACCTAAGCCAGCATCCTAAAGGTTTGCATCTCAATCATTTCCATGTTGCTAGGAAGAGACTTAGAAAAGGGAAGGGAGGACTGATGTGATTAGATTGTTTCTTTAGTGTTTAAGTACCAGCAAAATACACACACAATCCTAGTGGTAAAAAGGCTTAGTCACGCAGATAACAGTGACATGCATGCAGGCAGTCCCATACTGCAAGCCAGTCCAAAGTCACCTCGATAAAGAGAGTTCCTTCCTGGGAAGAGTTTGCTTTCTCCCATTTAGGGGCTCCACGCCTTTGTCATCCGCCTGCATCAAACATGCAGCTCTTTCATACTGCCTCCTGCAGAACCTGAACCTCCTTCTTGGTTTTATCACACATGGTTGCACAGTCCCTAAGCAGGACAGGGCTCCACATCTTCCCACCATTTTAGCTCTTGCCAAATCTATGTGCAGCCCTTACAGATTTCCCAGGGCCACTGTTTAACTCTCAGTTACTATTGGCTCCACTGCAGAGATGTCTGTCTTTCCTGATTGGATGTTGGAGGATAATGGAAGGATATGGGAGACCTGCAACCTCTTGAAGTTGCCATTTGCTGGCCAAGCCAGTCGGTAGGATGGGACTGTGGAGGGAAGCCTCTGTTCTGTGGGCCTGGGAGGTTTTCTGCACATGCTAAGCAAAGCCTTCAGTTCTGATTGGAACATGTCATTGAGCCAGCAGTAGATGAAGGGGTTATAGCAGGTGCTGCTCATTGCAAACCAGTGGAAGACAAAGTACAGGGCATTGTTGGTGTGGATGGTCTGGCTGGAGAGGAGGACGACGTAGCAATTCAAGGGAAACCAGCAAACTGCAAAGACGATGACAACAAGCATCAGCATCTTGATGGTCTTCTTATTCTTTTTGCAGAGGACGAAATATTGTTCAGTGGTGACATCCCCGATGACATTGCGCAGCCAGAGTTTCTTTGCCACTGTCATGTAGGCAGCAGAGATGATCAGAAGGGGCAGGACATAGAGAAAAATGAAGGTTGTTAAGTCAAGGTACTTTCAAAAGAGGTCAGCAGGCTCAGGGAAACCTGGCAGACGCAGGCACTGGGTAACCTCCTCACTGCAAGTGGAGATATGGGACAGGGGATGAGAGGACATATGGCTGGGCACGATGGGAGAAGTACATCAGAAACAAGGAGGCAGGTGGGAGAGGGCTCCTGCCATAAAGTCTGGAAGCAAATCCTTTGTTTATCTGTTTATCTGTGATATCTGTCAGAGCTAGGCAGAGCTCTGCTGTCCAAGGATCTGAGCCATAGAGAAGCCAGTGAACAACGTGGTGGTAATTTCTCATGAGCATTCATGACCTTACAATAATATTATGAATTTCATCAATTACAAAATTTTGAGCTGCACATAAGCATGTTTTTATTTTCTGTTCTTTGGCAAACAGGAACACAGTCTCTGCACATATTAGGGACCTTTTCCTCATTAAAGCACTTTCCAAATATTAAGGCTCTTGACAGCATTTTACGGATCAAGCAGCTGAGGCAGATTTTTCTACTTTCCCAGGGCGAAAGAGTAGATTAAAACCTGCTGGGTTTTAGTTGGTTTTTTTTTTTTTTTTTTTCCCCCATGTCTGGTCTGCCCAAATAGGTCAGATTGATATATGGTGTAAAATGCCAATGCATAATGGTAATGGGTCCAGGCCAGACCCTTTAACTTTTAGCCTGTTTCATGTGATTAGTGTGACAGAATAAAGATAAAATAATTAAAAATGGAAAGGACAGGATATCAGACATAGCAAAAAGAACCAGATGAAAATTATAGACTAGATCCATATTTGGCTGACCTTGACATATGCTCAAAGGCTTTCAATAGAAGACCCCAAAGGAAGACCGCTGAGAGTTTGGCCTTCAGGGAGATTGTGGAGGAAAGCAAAGGACATCCTTACCTGTATTCAAAGGTAAAGAGCTTTTGGCAGATACCATGTGGTACGGAAGAACAAGCTGCCATGATCCAGATTACAGAGATGTAGATAACAGCTTTTCCAGTAGATATGCAAGGTTTCAGTGGGTGCATTATAACCTGTGCAAAATAAACCAAAATTCAGGCTTATTGCACTTCAGGAAAGGATGATATTTTTTTTTTTCACACAATCTTCCAGCCTTTAATCTATTACTTAATGTGGAAATTCAGCATGCATGCAGTACAGTCTTCACACAGCTCCCATTGACTGTAAGCTGTACATAAAAACTTGAATTTTTCCTCTGTGAATATGAGTCATGTGAGATCCCAGTCCAACTCTCAAATTTCAGTAATTGCATCTAGATGAGAAAAAGTGGGTACCGGCAGTACCCAGTCTTGACACATGTTCATTTCCAGGTTCAGTTTATTTTATAGTAAAAAAAAATAAAAAAGAGGAGAAAAAAAGTCCCAGACTCTTCAGTATTAGTGACCCAAAGAACCAAACGCTTGTGACTTAGCCAGACCTCCCTGGGAATGCTTCTGACAGTCAGTGCATTTTCTGGAAACAATCTTTCTAGCAGAAAATGCCAACTGTCAACTGTTTTGTGTGGTTGTGAGGTGACTCCAAACTGATAATGCCCAGCTGTCCCCAGTTTTGAGCCCATTATTAACAGCAAGCCGCAGCCCTGCTTGTGACAAACAGCAGTGTGCTACAGTCAGCTCTCCAGTATTCAGAGTAACAAGGGGTGAGACATCCCAGAGCAGCAGGAGATGGAGCTGAGAAAGCTAACTAGGATGTCCCTACAGCCATGCTGCTGGACAAACTACCCCAGAGGAGAGCTGTCCATGTGAATTCCTATCGGGATCTTCAACTTTCTCCTTGTTTGAGAGCTACTGGATTATCTATCACATAAAAGCTCCCTTTACCCAGCTGGAAGCGATCACAAGGCAATGGATACCTCCCACCTCCCACCTTGCTGCAGGCTCAAAAATATTCTCTCCATCTGATAGCAAGGACTGTCCCCCTACCGTGGGAGCTGAGAAGGAAAGGATATGGAATCATCCTTTCTCAGTTTACTTATGCACTCCCAAGCTTTCCATCTTGGCTTCAGAGAGCTCTCACCTGGTGCCTGTCCACAGCAATGGCTGTGAGGGTCAAGGCAGAGACATGGAGGGAGCAGTATTGCACAAACCTACTGACATGGCACATCCCCTTCCCGAATATCCAAGTACTGTTCACAAAACGAGCCTGAAACCAGAAGATCATTAGTTTTGTGCACCCCCACAACTGCTTACAGATACACACCCATTCCATTATTTCTTGTGCTCTGTAAAAGATACTTTTAAGATGGCAGGTTCTTTGTCTAGTTGTATAGTTTTCTGCCTTCTGAACTCTGAAAAGGCAGGTTAGTGCTGCTCCGTGGCTCAGCAATATTCTCCAGGACAATATAGCAGCATGATACCAAAGATGTTTGTTCTGTTTTATTCACGGTGTATCCTTCTGCAGCCTAACTATTGAGTCAATATATTTTAAGCTCTTTTTAAACCCTCCTTACAGAGTAGGGCTAACCTGTACATCCTATTTCACTTTAATGCAAACTACAGCTTTTCAACACAGCTCGTAAAATGATGGTGAGCATTTTACTTTTTTCCAAGAGATTCATTGTATTTATACTTGGAAATACTTCAGAGAAGAGAAAGTACAAAGTACTAAGTAATCACTGCAAGGTTACTATTGTTCAAGTACTATCAAGGCCACTTTTAATAAATGGATAATTTCAGATCTTCAACTAGATAACAGGAATTAAGAGAAAAAAATACATGTGGAGTTTTCCAAAGGCAACTCCAGCGACTGTAATTTGGAGTGGACAGGTATCTGCAGAACATCCACTCACTGCTTTACTGCAGTGTAAAGAGGAAAAGGCCATGGAAGTGCCTTTTTGGCAATTCTGCCCCAGTCTTACCAATGTTAAAGGTGTGTAGAGGAGGGTGATCATGATATCGGCTACAGCCAGGTTGACAATGAACAAGCTGGTGGCAGAGTGCATATGCTTTGTCTTGGTGACAACGTGACAGACCAGGATGTTTCCAAAGAGGGAGAAGACAATGATGAACAAGTACGCCACAATGAGCAGGGCTTTCACTATGATACTCTGTGACTCTGCTCCGTACCGGCTCCTGTCCACAAAGCTCTGCCAGTTGGCCAGGCTGTCATTATCCCAGGAAAAGAAACTCGAGATGTTCCAGATTACAAAAGTCTTCTCCAGGCTCCCATTGAGGGGCAACTTCCCTGGGATCACAAAGGCGTTAACCACATTGGGAAGGATGAGCCAGAGGAAGCAGGACAACATCTCTGAAACGCCGCTCTGCTCCTCCAATTCAGAAACAGCTTCGGAAACAGCTCATTTGCGAGAGGGCAGAGCCGCTCTCCCCTCGCTCAGCCCGAGTGCTCGGAGGCTGCAAACACGGACCACGAGCAGCTGGAGCAGGTGGATGCTTCTGTCTCCCGCAGCCTGCTTCTCCTGCTCAGCTCACCGCTACTTTTGCTCCTTCAGCCGGCTTTATACTCCCGGGTGAGCTCCGAGCCACGATCTTCTGTAGTCATTGGGCTGCATGACATTATTTCTGCTCTGACATACTGCTTTTCCATGCAGTTGCACTCCCCCAGGCGCTACTCCAAGGCAAGTTCATCTGTGGGAAGGGCAAAAATCAATCTCTTCAGCTGTCGGAATCCTTCTTTACCAGCGGCCCAGCTCATGCAAATTCTGTGCTGTTTATACACCAGCTGCATATGTGCCAGCTCTGCTATCTTCCAGGACAGGTCAAATCTGAGCTGGTTAAAAGGTCTGGCAGGAAGTTTTCAGCCTATTTCACAGCATGACACTTATATAGGATAGAAAAGCATAGAATGGGGGGTAAGAGATGACCTGTGAATAACAAGCTGGCTTAATGTACCTACAGTATTTTTCCAAAGACCTTTTTTCCCCTCAGAGACACAGAGAAATACTGAAGTTTTCCCTTGGTTGGTATTTCCTCTTGGCCAAGGGAATAAAAGTTTGATGTGAAACTGCTTTCTAGGGTTTGTAAATACTTAGAGTAACTAAGAGTAGTTACAAAGAAGTGATTATATGGGACAGAGGACAGGAATGGATGTCCTAGCCCAGGGAATTCAGTATCCAAAGCAACAGGCACTGAACACAAGCACTGATGAGATGGCAGCACGTGTGTTCCCTCTGCCTTCCTCCCAAAACATAGTAGGAAATAGAAAATCAGTACCAGGAGACCAAGAGCCACAAATCCTACACAGCACAGAAAGATGTGCCACTTCCCAAGCGCATATGTAGGATGCTGCCCTGCTGCTGGGGACAGATGTGCTTCGGTGGTGTCACTAACTCCAGCCAGAGCAAGTTTTGTACATAAGAGACTTTATTTAATCATTAATTAGAAGACCATTATCTGAAAAGCTTGTATTATATAAGCTGGTCACTCATTGGTGAAAATAACACTTCCAGAAGATGTTTGTGACTCCCCCAGTGAACAGCTCAGGCTGCTTTCTCTTCATCACAGGAGTTGTATCCAGCAGGACAGATGGAATGGCCAGCCCACAGTGCTCCTCTGCAAACCGCTGCCAGGGCCTATTTCTTCCACGGAACTGTTCAATTTGAGCTCTTTTGGCAGTTTGCTTGTCTCAGAGGAAGCTTTCCAGTGAACCTGCTGGAGCTAATAATGTGGCAGTGACCTCTGGCTATTCAGATAGAAGAAAGAAATATGTGTTCCATTCAGAAGCAGTCAGGAGATCCCAGTCTCACATAAAGGCCCAAGAAAATCAAAGACAGTGGGACAGGGCAGTGTTCTAGTATGGATTTGGGATAAGAAAAGAGGGGTTGGTGGCATATGTCCCCCTTCTTGCTGGGCTGCTCCAGCAGCTCCCAAGTACCCCTCCTTTTCATTGCTGTTGGTCAGTGCATAAGGGCATTCTGCCTTCTGGCACTCTAAACTCCATCTCTTACTGTTCCACATCTTTCAGATCCTGTTCCCACGTACTATAACCCATATTCCAGCAAAAATGTTTACTTTTGTCTATTTACCTTCCTTGACCTAATTCTTCATTTCTAGCAGAATACCCTTGCATGTGTTACCAGAGCTGCCATTCCCTTTGAAGACCAGGTACATTCAGGAGAGCAGGTCTTCTCACCTCCTCAGCCAGGCTGCTGGCAGGAGGATGGGAATCTCCTCCCACTCAGCTCAAGCCCACCCTCCTCCGAGCTTGTGATCCAAAGGAGATGGTCCAACCACACACTGTGCAAGCTACCCAGAAATACCCACAAAGGGTCATGGAAGAAGCCCAGTGGAAGCTCCCTCGTCAGGACTCTGCCATGTTGCTGGTGTGCCCTTCTCTGCTTCACATCATTCTGATTTAGTTTGTATTTAAACATTCCCCAGTATTAGCTGTCTAAACAGCTCACCTATGGGTGGTTGTTACTAGAGAACAGGCTGTCGTAGATTTGGCAGCTCCTGCCAACTTCACCCTTGCTCCACAATCCCCAGCACCCACTGACAGCAAAGGAAGCAGCTGCACAGGAATGTCAGGATTTGGTATGCTGTATCTGGTTTTTGTAAAAGGTATCTGTGAAATGATGCAATTTCTAAAGTTAAAAGTAATGTTTGAAATAAAGCTATATGGATGGACCATGAACTCAGGTAATTAAAAAAAAAAGTCATCAAAAAGGGCAAAAGAACCTTTGATACAATTCCTATTAATAATCTATATTTTACTAAAATCTTTGCTGGGATATGTGTGTAACATTGGAATAGCCCTGCTTGGTACTTCTTGAATTACGAGGCAGAATTCATTCCCACACACTATAACTAGTAACAGCGCAATACTTGGTTTAGTTCTCCTAGTAGAGTTGAAAGCACTAGGATGTTTTCCAGTTTCAATACTGAAAACTATATTTTTGTGTCCAACTACTACTCTTCAGAGTTTTCAACTGTATCAGTAGCAAATTGCAAGTAAGTAGAAGTTTCCTTGTGCTGACTCAGTCTGTGTCCATATTCATACTTTCAAACAACTGTAAATTTACTTATCTGCAAAATTCAAACCAAAGAGATGGAGTTTTCTATAAAAGATATAACCATTATTTTTATTATCATCCCAGAAAGAAAACAGGGTTTCATGTTTTAGAAAGAACTTGCAGTTTCAGGCAGTACTTCAGAATATTAGACCTTCTAGTCTAATGCATCAAGCAGCATAACACAGAAATTTTACCAAATTTGGTGCCGCTGGAAAAAAAACTCAAACCATTTCATAGAAGTGAAAATTGAATGCAAGCCACCATTTACAGAGGAATATCACATAGAGAATGCCTTGCAAACTGCTCTCCATTTTCTTCACCAACTTCCACAGTCTCTCTTGCATAGTGAACGAGAAATCACTTAGTTCTTCTTGATGTTGCAGGGCTCATGAATGCATCATCCTGCAATTGGCAAACAGATATGCATTACTAGGACTAGCATGCATTCCAAGTCATAAAAAGCAAAGTCACCTTTAGGTTAAACTAGAAAGCCTGGTCATAATATTTCATGCTTCCTGACAGACCTGGTTTTGTTGGTTTTGATATGAAAGAGATTATCTATTGATTTAAAGGTCCAGGTCACAAATGTGCAGAGAATAAAAACCAAGTTTTTGTCAATATGATCAGAACAGCTACTCTGGAATGAGAAACAATTTATATTTCATTGTTATTACTATGAGCAGCACATACCTCAATAAAATTATGTCCATATAAACATCACACATCATAATTTACTGAGATTTGCATGAATCAAAAATACTGTTTCTTTTTGCATGTTCAGGCAAACATGTAGTTTTGTATTTCAGATAGAAGAAGAAATAGCACAGTAGGGAGAAGGGACAATAATGTAACGTTTTCTCTGAAGTGGTCAACCTCTGACATTGTTAAGGAATGCATCCTGACCATGCATGGCAGTCTGTGAAAACAAACTGCACAGTGCTTGACGGTATAATGTGTATTCTATTCAGTGCAAAGCTGTGTGTAAAGTCCTACTTGTTTAATTATTGACAGAACCATTTCCTACCTGTTCAAAGATATACTGCAAGAACAGACATCTTAGACTTGAAAAGACAGTGTTTTAATTTTTTTTAAAAAGTGTGTTTACATAATTTGCAACAATAAACAATAAAGTGCCCTAAAAAATAGCCATTTTGGATGCAAAAAAAGAAAGTTTTGCTTCTTACAAGAATAAAATACATAAACAAATGAAAGGATACAGCCAAGCATTAAAGGAGATTATGATTACTTTATCTCCTAGGCAATTGCAGGCACACATTTCAGAAATGACAATTCACTGATTAAGAACTGAAGGGAAAAATGACTGGATTATTTTCCTGAGGCCCCTTCTAGCCTTATTTTTGACAATTATGAATATAGTCTAATTAAAGTTGGTTGCAATAATCTAGACCTGTTAGTGAAAAAAACAGTAAATTCAATTTTACTCTAAAATACTTTACTCAAATAGCTGTAAAACACTAAACTATAGAAACTTATATGAAATAAAACTAAAATAATACTACTATATACCATACCTCATCTGACTCAAAATCAACTCCTCTAGATGTTTGGCTTTGTGAACCTCTTTTACTAAGTGAAGATGTAGTTGACAACCTTGAAACATACAAGGAGGAAAAAAAAAACACAGCATCAACATGTTCTCAATTACCAGAAATTCCAATAACTTTCCCTTCAACTTAGAGTTGGACCACCAATACACAGACTAAGAATAAATAGAAATAAGTAGAACAATAAAAATTCTCAAACTAACATATTAATTCTGAAGTTCTGATCTAGATTACCTGAATCAGTAGACTAATTCTTTTGTTACAGAAAGATAACCCACTTTAACAAGTAAAAATTTATACATATTCTCTAAGTAGTGTTTCTTATGACTTTCTTAAAAATCTGTTTTTTCAGGTAGTGGATCAAATCCCTGGACTCTGCTGATTGCCAGTCAGAAATAAGGCACTCAGGGTAGTATTCCTGAAGCAAACATACTGACCTTTGATTTCCTTTGGAAGAAGGAACAAAAGAAGTGTCTTCTGGATCAGAGTCAACATCTATAATATCCTGAAAAAAAATAATTATAAAGCTTTTCCACAGAATGTATTTTTAGAGATAGAGTGCATAATGCTTCAGTACTATAGCACAGAACCTCTGGGGTTTTTTCCAACTACACACCTACTTACTTACAATAATAAACACTTGACAGGGCTCCAGGCTAGAACTGGACAAATTTGCAAATATAGCACAAGTTTGCTCTTCAGATCTTTGATCTGGCAGAACCCCCAAAATACTCCTGTATATACACTTACGTATCTTAGACTACGGCCACAAATACAAGTTTTTCTCAGACAAACACCACACAGGTGATATAAAAGGTCTACGAATTAACATGCAGAAACCTACTGCTGGAACTGATAGCTTGGGAACATCTGCTCATTTAGGCTAATGTTTCGACCTTGTATTTATTTTTCAAATCAATGGCAAAAGGCAGCACAACTTCACTCATACAAGAAGATGCTTACCTCAGAGTAAGCCTGAGATGAATTCAAGAAGGGGTTTGGTTTCAGAGGCCTAAAGGCTAGAATAAAACATGGAGTATTTTTAAAATGCTCAACACAATTAAGTACAAACAACATTACATCATTCTTTTTATTTGAGACCTGCTTAGTATGCATTGTCTCTGCAAAATACCCTGTAAAAACAAACAAGCAAAACCAAAAAATAATTAAGCCTTTGCTGGAGCCTGACAACCCAGGGATATAACCCTCTGTGCAGCTGCAGGTGCTTCTCAGTCTGGCTGAAAAACCATCAGGAACTTTGGTTCAGAAGAGAAAAATATTAGTATAATTGATATTCCTGTATGTCTAGCAGTTTAGACATCAACACATCTGCTAAAATTTATTTCTCTGCAGTATTTTAGGTGATTTGCTGACCAATTTAAAATTGGGGCAATTTGCTGATTAATTTAAAACCCGCTCCACCTTTGGGCATTTTGTGTGGGATTCATGTATAGATTTGTGAGCAGTATCTTTTTCTTTAATATTCAGATTACCTATGCTGTTTCCTCAGAGCCTGTCCTCCATAGCAAGCAAGAGCTACTCTCACATATGCAGGTGGCTTATATTGCAGATAAATTTTTCTTCCCTAGTAAAAACTGGCATTTCTAAAACTCACTACAGTGTAAGACTAAATGGATTTGCATTAAAGCTTACTACCTCCTAAACATCAGCCAAGTTTAAAAATTTTTTATCCCCTGAGGAATAGTCTTCATAAAATAATGCTATTAAGTCACATTCTTTCTAAGCTTATTTCTTCAGGCAATGGATACAGTAATATGTTCCCTATTTCCAGTTCTAGCCATAAGTTCCTGACACATTTCATTTTACACCATGACAGAAGAATAGTGATATTCTATTTTCCCTTTCTTTTTGCTTTCTCTCATTACTGTTATTTTATTTCATTAGAGTTGAAAGAATCTCTCACAACTGAGTTGGACTAACAGAAATAAAAGCAATTAAGGCACTTCATCATTAAACAAACACCTGGAGAGAGCAGATTAGAGTAATGGACAGATCAAAAGCCTACCATCAATGATGGACATATTCTTGGCAGGCACAGATACAGGCTTGTAGATTCTGCTGCTAGAAGCTGACTCTTGGCTAGTGCTTCCTGTAGAGATAACAAACAAAATGGAAATCTGTTCAGTTGCGGTTTTTTCCCCCTTGAGTCTATCATAATTCAGTGGGAAGTCACATAAAAAAATCTACATTCCGCTTTACTCCTCACTTTCTTTCTGGAATCAAAGGCACTCCTTACACGCAGAAGAACTGCTCTGGGTCGAGTGTTCAAAGTGCACAGATACAGACTCTAACACACAGGGCCCTGCTCTGATGGCATCACAACAGTGTTGGAGCACAGGTTCACAGAACTAGTTTAAAAACATCAACCAAATCAGGCCCAAGATGATAGCCTTCGTTTCAACTCATCCTGCTCTGAGATATGTTAGTGAGATAACTCAAAGGAGTATATTGCTGCAAGACCCCATCTTTTCTATTTTATTTATATATATATATATAAAATGGAAGTATATCTATAAAGGAAGTACCACTATCCCCGTAAAGTGCACAGCCACATAGCCGAGGAGCTAGTTAACTCACTTTTCTTAGGAAACACTCCCCATTTTCTCAGTCACTAGAAACATTGAAGTCTCCTGTAAACTACATTATAATAGAGACAAGCTGTACCTCCTCCCTATACTGATCAAATGCATTACCATTAGCAGTAACAAAGCTTTATCCATGCACTTCATTGTACAGACATTCCCAATAATGCACCTTTTTAAGAGGCTACTATGTTTCCACAGCTGGGAAGCAAGATATTTTTCTTCTAAGCACAGTGTGAAAAAGTCACAACTTAAGCTTTGTAAGGCAGTCAACTATATGTAATAGGATACCCCAAGTATTTGAGAAGAATTTTTTTTCCAGTAGGAGTCCTTAAGCAGAAAATTTCCACTTGATGGAAGCATCAGAAAATAGTCACGTTTTAAAGAAAAAAAAGTCAGTAACTGCAGTATAAAGTGTGAGGTTTTTCTTACCTCTTCCCCTTCGAGATG